GACTATGTAATTCATAAATAAGTACTTTTCTAGTTCACATTCTCTTTAAGTATTAAAAGAAGTTAGGCTAAGTAAATCATCAGTAAGAAAAATGTTGAAGTTGTAACAAAGCCAGGTGCTTTTGATACCATGCATGGTAGAGTGCTAAGAATATAACAATGGTAACAATAATGGCATGTTAATTGAAAAATCTGCTGGAGTGTATTTGTTGTTTAAAAGCGTCAGTATCAGTTTCTGTATCATTAAGAGAATGCTGTGGGCACTACCATGGTCTTGGATGTGACCTTGCAGAATGAGCTTTTACCTACATTCCCCAAGGAATTCAGTCCCCTGTACAGCCTCATTAGGCATTCAGAGGCAATAACTAATAGAATTAAAGTGTGGCATTTCCAAAAGGATATTTTTTTAACCATTATCCTGATGTTTAGAACTCTTGACAGGATAATTTCCAGAATCAGGATTCATGGAAGTTAAAGAGGTATCTGGAACAGTGTGTGGTGAACCTGCAGGCGGGATGACAGAAACCATGTCAGCTGAACCAGTGTTGCAGAGACCCATTAATGAAGGAAGAGATGAGAGCCCAATTGTCTAGTCCATTAAAACAACCCTCACCCCAACTTTCCACTACCCACTTGCATATCTCAGAATAGGCTTCAAGAACTCAACTCTTAAGGTTTAAAGCCACTCATCCAGGCCATAGAGAATTCTGAAGAACCACCTCTGCCTTTAAGCAGACACATACCATTCATTCAAGGTGTCAGCAGCCCCACCGCTCCTTGCCCCCTGCCCACATCTGGCATTGGTGCTCTTGAGGACTTCAGATGAAAACAACTTTTACACACTTGGTTATTCTCAGACCTTCCCCCTCTTTTCTTCTGAGCACCCTTGTTAATTAACCTGCTTTTTTCTCCTGAGTTGTTTACACCTTTAGTTGCATAATATCCAGGCTTATGCTCCTCTCTCGGGGCCTAAGAAGCAGATTCTCTCTTTAAGGTAACTTTTACCTCTGTCTTCTAATGTTTTCTACCCAGGACTGATTTTATTAAACTTCTCAGCTTTGTTTCTAATCCACAAGGTCCCTTCATTTGCATTCCATATACTGAATTCTTACAACAGCATGAAGTTCAGGTAATTTTGTCCAATGAGAAGAAAAAGCTATAATTGTTTCAATATTATTAATGTTTTATGTACAAGTAGACACTGGCATTTGTTCAATTCCCTTGCAATTTCTTGAACACACATTGGGATTGTATTTGTCTATTGGAGAAATTTGAGTGTGATCAATATTACAGCCTTTAACTACTTAGCTAGAGTGAGTTTCTTCCTCTGTTTGTTTACTTCTGTCTCAGAAACTTTGCAATGGATTGTGTCTGTTTTTTCTCAGTGTCTTCTTTTGAAGATGGCATCAGTCAAAATCTTTTTGGTAAGAAAAGTTCTGGACCATTACAAATTGGAAATTGTAGCTTGACCTTGGTATAATGCTTATTGTTCACTATTTGAATTTGATCTTTGCTTGACATTTAAATATATTAATCATGTGTTAGCAATGAAAGATTTTGACAGATGATTAATTGTGAGAGTGTAATAAATGTTTCATTAACTGATTCATGTAAGGTGTAATTGTCTTCCAAATTTAATAATAGTAGTCACTCAAATACATAGTTAAAATAAAACCAGATCTCTTTTAATATAAAAACATCTGATTTTATCTTGCTCTCAGAAGTTTTCTCTTATCTTTAAAACTGTATGTCAAAGTGTTATTTAAGGACATATAATATTTATTTATCAGCTCTGAACTTTATCATACTTTCATACCTGGTTGGTTACAATAACATAAGATATTAGAAAATGAAAGTCAAAGTTATGCTTCAGTAGATTTTAATTATGTTGAGAACCTGATCAAAGATGAGTTTAAAAGAATATTTTAAATAATTATTATTTTATAAAAGCAAAAAATATTTTAGACAGTAACAACAGATAAGAATTTGATACAAAGTGCAAGAGGTTTTTAAAATGGATACTTTTGCAAGTCCTCTGTGACACCAGAGTTTTTGGGTTATGATTCTGCGCACAGGGTTTATTTCCAGCCCATCAATAAGGCTGTGGCTATGCATGGCCACCATCTGGGAGACATGGAGGAGCTAGCCAATGAGTATCATTGTCTACACAGAACATCTATAAGTAGCTTTAATTTGTTTACTGCTGTTGCTCCTTACTTTCACTCTCATAGATCTTTTATTATCTTTTTGGTACATTTGTAAAACAAAAAGGATGATATGGGAATGGAAGGGGGACCTGTCAGGATACCTAGACCTCAGAGTGTGTAGTCTGAGTCCTGGCTTCAGCTTCCTGCTAAGATGTACCCTAACCAGCATCCGGTATTGTGTTCAAGTACTGTGATCCTAGCCCTCCATGCGAAAGACCCAAATCAGGTTTCTAACTCATGACCTTGGCTCGGTCCATCATGGTGCCCATTGTGGACATTTGATAAGTGAACCCAGTATATGTAAGTTTCTCTCTTTCTTTTTCTCAATTGAACATGGTTTAAAAGCTAAAACAAACAAGGAAGATGTCAGAGCAGTGGCCAGAATTTCCAAATTTTTAGCCTATCACTAAGGGTATCATCCATTTTTTAATGTGGATAATCAAATGTAAATGGTAAAAGGTATGTCATAAAAGACTTTAGCGAAACAAAGCCCACATAGCTTTTGAGCAAATACAACATCCTGTAATTGTCGTTGCCATTATATCATATCTTCTGATGATGAGCCCTTGAAATTTGTGTCTTTAAAAGCAGGGCTGTTACTGTGTCTGAAATCAGTGCAAACACAAATGATTATTAACAGCTTTCAGTTGGAGATGGTCTACCAGAAGGATGTGCTTGCTTCCCATCCCTCATGAGATACTTGAACAAGGGTGGACCTTTAACACAGAGAGAAATTCCGGGCTGAGAGTCAGTACTGTCTGTAGGGGTTTGGTAAGAAGTGCAGCTCCAAATAGAGATTGAAGTTTCCTTCATCCCTCCTTCTAGATCCTGTTCTCTGAGCAGAGTTGTCTGTTGGGTACTAAAACAAAAACAAAAACAAAAGCAACAGATGGCTCCTCTGTACAGGAATTGAACGGATTGACGTGGGAAAGCCAAGACTTCTGCTGTGGATATTGATGTTCCAGAGTAAAGGGAGCAAAGCTCTTTTTCTGTAAAGTGAAGAGCTTCTCATTATTCCGTTACTTTAGCCTACCTGTAGGCAGATTTTGTCCTAAGCTTTTGATTCTTTCTTCCATGCTCTCTACCCACTACAAAGATCTCAGGTGGTGAAGAAAAAACACAAACCCTCCTTACCCAACAGCACAAAAAACCCATACCAACAATCCCATATTCACTTTGTAACTAAAATTGGACTATCCTGTTGGATGTTTCCAGGTTGGGGGAGAGCCACAAATGTGACCATGAAAGATCAAATCAGCAAATAAACAAACAGAAAAACTAGTTCCAAAAGAGACAATGACCATTCAAGAGACATAAGCATCTTATTTTTGTAAATGCATTTATTATATTCAGAAATATGTGAGGACAGATTATATTCATGACAATGGATGCTAAGTTAGAGGGAGTGTTAGGGAATCAGAGAGCATGTCTAGAGAATACAGATTGTTGAAATTTACTCCATAAAGTTAGAAAACAATGTTGAGAAAAATCTTATAGAAAATATAGCAAGGGGAAAAATAGAAAATATGGGGGAAAGAATTCATAAGCTAGAAATTCCATAAAAGTGGTACAATATAGGAATAATAGAAATAAATATGGAGAATCAAGAAATAACATGTTATCAATAAAATAGTAGAGGATATGCCCCAGACCTGTGCAAGTATATTTGTCATCTGTTTGCTGCATATCATAATCTACACCTAGATAATATATTCGAGTTTTAGAAAACTAGGAATAAAGGTAAGATTATAAAAGCTTTAAAAGAAGAAGCAGTTGCTTTACCAAAGAACACAAATTAGATATTTGGGTGACTTTTCAGGAGCAGCACAAGACGCCACAAGACAGAACACCCTGCTCAAAATTGTAAACGATAACTTCTTCAGCTTATAGCTAGATGGGCTTCTCGTTCTGTAATGGCAGGTTAAAGACATTGTCAGATAGTTAGGAATGCAGAACATTTCCTCCCAATCTACCACCGTGTCATCTGGTGGATTAAAGAGCACTGTAAATTCTCTGACATTTTTGTCCATAAAGGGATGTAGTTTCTATGTCTTCCCTCCTAGAGTCTGAATCCATGACTGCTTGCACCAGTTGAATGAGTGGAATGCCTTTATGGCACTTCCTAACCCAGGTTTAAGAGACTTCAGTGACTTCCAGTCCCTTCCAATACTCTGCTTGAATTGGTCACATTCCACCCTCTACTTGACCCTTCCAGATAAACCCAGCCATCAGTCATCCCATCCAAGGGCATGAGAGTCATGCTGCCTTTGAATTAACATGTAATTTAAAAGAGTAGAGCATCTAAAGTTAGAAAATATTGATTTAGTTGAGCAAAATAATTAGTTCACAATGATTAACTGAAAAAGTGACTAAAAAAGGCATTCAGTTTCATAAGAGGAGAATCGTGTCTTACGGTACAGAATGCTACACATTCTCCATTCTGGTAACAGCCCCAACTTCAGAGAGCAAGTACAGCCTTTGTTCTAGGGAAATAATAGCCTTCGAAAATACAAGTTGTAGGGTGTAATAGCTGTGGTTGATGTTTTAGGATACAGGAACTAAGTATAGAAAGACAATTCAGTGAAGTTCTGGTTATTAATTGTAACTCCTGCAGCACCCCAAGAGTCACGCACTGACATCTATTCTTATGAGAAGGTTTTTGATTCCTGTTTTCACCACTCATGTGATGCATTTTATTTTAGTAGCATGGTTGCTAATTATGTTGATAAAAACTTATTATTTTCACCACAATGTGGACCGTGCTCACTGATTCTCTAAGTTAGGTGTATATAATGGAAATGTAGCAGAGACTGATGCTTTCAGATATGAAGACAAAGTGCTGTATGTCTCTGTGCATACAGACCAAAGGATGGACTCCCAGTGAAAAAAACTGAATACATCCTAACAGTAAGATGATGGACTCTCTGACAATGTCCATGCCTTCTTTGTCAGGAAGTACTTCTATAACAGCATAATGGACTTGTGACTGTTCATGAAGAACATCCATTGTAAAACCAGAGGGGAAATCAATAGAGAATGGGGCGGGGAGGACCTTGGGGAAGGGCCCAGGCAACCCCAGAACCAATGGAACTATACCATAAAACAAATTAAATTTTTCTTTAAAAAAAAAAAAAAGAAAAACAGCTTGCATTATATGAGTATCTTTGGGTGACTAGACTCTAAAGCCAGTACTTTTGGTACGCAGTGGGAAAGACTATTGATAATTGAATTGATAAATAAAAGGCAAGGCCCTTTTCAGATCAGATTGGGAAGAAAAAATAAGTGCAGTGACCTCAGATGCTTCTGTACTTGATCATAACCAAAAGGCCGAGAAGCAAGACTTCCAGTCGGGTGTCCTAAGAAAGTCAGTTTTGGTAGAGGTGGGTGATGATCTGCAGTGAGGAGTCATTCCAAATGGTTGCACACTATGAAGGGTAGGAACCCATGCAGACAATATGCAGATGCAAGAGGAAGGAAGTAATAGACCTTCAGGTTTCTATTCTTGGAGCATGTCAGAAACTAGTTTTATTCCCAGGATTACAGTATTTAAAGACATTTACCCGTGTTGAATCTTCCACCTATTTTTTGTTCCCTTCTTTTTCATACTGATTTCTATTTATTAAGACAGGCAGCAAACTGGGATGAAGTATTTGCAAAACATATCTGATAAAGAATTTGTATCTAGACTTCTCAATAATGAACAGCTAAAAAAAAAAAGCAGCCCAGTTAGAAGATGTAGCAAAAAAAAAAATCACTGAAAAGGATAGACAGATGGCAAATAAACACATGAAAAGATGCTCAACATCATTAGTCATTAGGGAAATGAAAATTAAAACCATAATGAAATATCACTACACAACTTTTTAGCTAACATTGTTAACTTGACAAGACCAAATGCAAGGATTGGGGACTTTGGATCATTTGTACATTGGTGGTAGAACTGTAAATGCTGCTCTGGAAAACAGGTTGGAAGTTTCATGCTTTAAAATTTTTTAAATTTATTCTCATTTGTTTGAGATGAAGGGACAGAGAGAAGAATATCCCATTTCTGCTGCAGTGTCAGGGCTGGATCAGGCCAAAGCTTGGAGTCAAGAACTCAGCTGAGGTTTCTTTCCTAGGACTCAGGGAGTCAGGGATTAGAGCCTTCAGCTTCTGCCTCCCTGTGTGCGTCACCAGGAAGATGAATCAGCAGTGGAACTAAGGCTCAAACTCAGGCACTCCAAAATGGAATGTGGGTGTCTGGGTGTCATTTTAACTTCAGTGCCAAATACTGAGTCCTGGCAGCTGTTTATAAATTTAAACTTGGGCCTGGCGATATAGCCTAGTGACTGAGGTTCTCACCTTGCAGGTACCGGGATACTATATGGGTGCTGGTTCATGTCCTGGTGGACCCACTTCCCATCCAGGTCCCTGCTTGTGGACTGGGAAAGCAGTTGAGGATGGTCCAAGGTGTTGAGATCCTGCACCCACATGGGAGACCAGAAGAGACTCCTGACTCCTGGTTTCAGATTGGCAATGCTCCGGATGTTGCAGACATTTGGGCAATGAATCAGCAGACAGAAAATCTTCCTCTGTGTTTCTCCTCTTTATATATCTAACTTTTGAAATATATATATATATATTATATATATATATATATAAAATTGCAGTTATCACGTGACACAGCAGTCTCTTGCTGTTCATGGGCCCTGCAAGGACTCATGGCTACTACTATGCTTCTTTCAGTACCGAGGGCCCTCCCAGCTCTGGGAAACTATGTGATTCTTAGAAAATTGAACCAGAAATAACAAGAACAAGGTCTTTACATTTGAGACCAACATTGTGATGCAACAGGTTAACTCATCACTTTGGGATACTAGCATCCAGTGGATCACTGATTCATGTCCTAGGTACTTGATTTATGATGCAATTTCCTGCTAATGTGCCTGGAGAAGCAACATAGATGTCCAAGTATTTGCCCCTGCGACCCCTATGGGAGACACAGATGACATTCCAAGCCGATCACTTTGCCGCAGCCCTGGCTTTTGTGTGCTTATTTGAGGAATGAAACAGTGAATAGAAGATCCCTCTCTGATACTCTGCTTTTCAAATAAAATAAAGCTTGAAAAAAAAAACCACTTTGTACTTAAGAGCTCAAGCATTGTTTATGGATATTGAAATTTCCTTATCACTGAACTAAAATCAATATAAACAAGGTAGTCCTTATCTCCGATAAAAAACAAAATGGTTCTGTTGTATTGCTGACTTCTTTCTCGGTGTCTTGCTGACTAGTAGCCGAAGAAAAGGGTTTTCTTACACATTCATTACATTTAATACAAACTAAAAAAATATGAATCTCTTCTCTGTGTTACTCAAGATTTTTCCCTTGACTGACTTGCACCCTAGGCACTTAGCATCTGTTCTGACCCATTCTAAGTTCTTTGTGTGCTCTTCCATTTCCATTGTGGTATTATCCCATGCTTCATCTTGGCATTGTAGCTTCTGCTTTTCCCAGTCTTTATTTCCAATTTCTCAGTCTTTGTGTGAGCAAATTACTAATGTATTGGTTAGTTCTATTCTTCTCCACTGCAATCTTCAAAATGTCTCCTTTTCTTCCTAAGAAGACCTGTTCTTACGGTCCACACTGCATATATGTTCTTCCATGTCTTGTCATAATGTTCTTTTCTGTATAAAAACCTATGAAACTCCTCTGCTGGCATGAGAAGCTCAATGGACTGTGGCTTACACAGTTGCCATACAACATCCTGCAGCTGCACATGTTACCGTTGTTGACCAATACAAGAGTTGCCAGAGACATTATTAGGCTGTTTTGTTGGTCACTTTAAAAAAAGATAGTGCAATAGCAATCAGTTAATAGAGGCTTAAACAAGGGAGTTTATTTCCTTCACACACAAACATCAAGGTAATAGATATACAGGAAAGGGAATATGGTTAAGGAGTGCTCCTTTCCAAATGCTTGTTTGGGAGCCAGACTCCTTGTTATTCCGTAGTCCTTAGGGCATTTCTGCAGTCTTCATGGTCCAAAAAAAGCTAAATGGCATACCCCTTGCTATTAATCACATGATCTGGAAGCTGTACATGCAGCTTCTGCTCATACCCCTTTGGCTGGAATAGAGCCATCTGGTCACAACAGTAAGGGAGACAAGAAAAAACAGTCTTGGCTTAGAAGCTACTCTTTCCCTTTTGCTACCACAAAAGAAAATGAGTGTGAACACTTGGGGTGTAGCATCTCATCTTGTATCCAGGCAGGAAGTGGAAAAAAGAGCAACAAGAACAGGATTAAGAGTACACTGATTTCCTGGGACTTGTGACAAATGAAGAGACAATGTGGGAAATGGATGTGGACTTGAGCAAAGATCAACTAGGGTTGATGATTAGAAAACCAGGTGTGTGGTTTATGTGTAAGAAAATGACATGTTCAAGGGGTAATAGTGTGTAGTTAATGAATGAGTAATTATTCAACACCATTTCCTAACATACTAATTTGATACTAGCATTAAGGATATAATCAATATGGACAAATGTACTCTTTCTATTTCCAGTTAAGATCCAGTGAGAGATGGCATTGAGTGTAGATAGTGAGAAAGGCAAAGTCAGGGCAGGCATGAAAGGCATTGCAGAGGCAGACCTCTGTGATATTGGTGGAGAGTGACTGTGGAAGCTAAACATGACCTGGGAGTGTCTAGCATGTTTCCCTAGGGGAGTATGTTCATTATAACAAGTATGGACATCTAAAGCAGCTAATGTCACTCTGTGACCTGCTCTGTTTGTTTGCTTGGAGTTTGTGGGAACAAGGAAGGAAAGAAAGTGAGCTGTCTTTAGTTTTTGACTGTTTGAGTTTGAAATATCAAAGCAATATTGAGGTGACTGTGTTCACAAGAAAATCAGGGGCTGGCATTTGGGCACAATGTGCCAAGCCACCACTTGGGAAAACATATTGGAATGCCAATTTCAGTTCCAGCTTCTCTGCTTCCAACACAGCTCCTTGGTAACGTACCTGGAGACCCTTCAAAATGTGGTTCAGGTGCTTGTGCATCTGGTATCCATATTGGGAAAACCAAACTGAGTTTCAGGCTTTTGTCTTTAGCCCGGTTGGGCTCTGGCCATTGTGACCAGTTGGGCAGTGGGTCAGAAGATAAAAGATCGTTTTCTCTCTCTCTCTGTCACTTTGCTTTTCAAGTAAACAAGTGAATCGATCTTTTTACAAAGGAAATTAAATGTTTGGTTGCAGGTCAAGAGAACTCTTAGAACTTTAAGGAAAAGCAATTTTGATATCTTGATGTCCTTATTATAAGTCTAGTTGTGAAAGGCATGGGAATGTCAAGGTTATGTGTGGAAAGAGCCAGATTTGGGGAAGATCTATGTTTCTGGGAGAAAGCAGCAAGAAGTAGAAAAGTCATCTCGAAAAAAAGAAGAAAAAAAAAACCAAGAGATCTTCAGTGGTGTTTTTCTTTAGAAATGATTTGATTTATTTGTTTGAAAGGTAGAGTTACAAAAGATCGTCCATTTGCTGGTTCAGTTCCCAAATGGCTGCAAAGGAGAAAATCAGGATGCTGTATGCTTGCTTTCATTCAGATGACAAATGTCCATTTATGTTTGTGGGCTACAGGAAACTCGCTTTGTATTTAAGGTTACTAAGCAGAAAGTTGTGTCTGTTATTTTAAACCTTAAAAGATATTTTTGTCTTTTATTTATCTGAACTGCATAGCAACAGAGAAAGAGAGAGAGAAGCAGAGAGAAAGAGAGAGACTCTTACATCCACTGGTACACTTCCCAAATGTTGACAATAGGCAGGGCTGGGTCTAGGCTGAGACCAGGAGTTTGGCGCTCTGTTCTGGCTTCCCAAATAGGTCATGGTCATAGGGACTCAAATACTTAAGCCAACATTGCTGCCTCCAAGGAGGTACCTTACCAAGAGCTGGGTTGGAAGCTAAGGCAGGTCTCAAACTCAGGCACTGCAGTACAGGATGTGAGCACCTTGATAATATTACTTCTTTCTTAATTCGTTGTTAGCCTCTGTGATTTTATAATAAAAAGTCATTTATAATAAGTGTGCACTTCTGTTTTTACCTAACAAGATTAGATTGAGAAATCAGTAAGTGTAAGTAGGTGATTATCCATTCCAATGCATCCGCCTTTTGACTCGGTTAATTCCCACTCAGGAAATGATCTTTTCGTACAGTATAGTGATTTGTAATTGGAATCTAGCCAAGTTCTTTTAAACTGTAGAAGCTGAATGCAACTGATGTACAAGGACAATGATATTTTATTTGTTAAAATTTGGCAAGTTGAACTAGCATGAATTATGGCATTATTTCTGAATATACTCTTAATTTTCTTTATATTGATATTGGCTTCATAGTTCTGATACATTTGGATGAACTTTCCATATGAACAAATGTTTGAGTGATCTGATTAAGCTTCCTAATGAATCTGTTGTATTTTGTGAAGTTGTTGCCAAGACATTTAGAACTCAGTTAAGTTTTAAAAAAAAGTAACACATTATCATTTGAATTTCAAATATGGCTTAGATTCTGTTCAGAAAACAAAACTAGATGGTGATTATGATTTAGTTTGCTTTTGAAGACTGATAGCATTATTGATTCACTATCAGTATATTTAATATTTAAGAAGATCATATATTAGGTCTGGTATGCATGAAATCAATAGCAAATTTATAATTATTCATTTACAATTAGTATTACTTATTAATAAAGTTGCTAGATATGGAGTTGAATAGTCAAATTACTAAAACCACAGGAAACATTTACTTTAGTGAGTATGTGTAAAAATCTGTGGCTATTGTAATCTGTAATTAAAGTATATCATATATTTGTCATGTATAATAAATTGTTTCAAGGAGTGCAGGGAAGGTTGACAGGAATACAAATTTTCCTTACCATCAATGGACATAGCCTGCCTTGAGGATTAGAAGAAATGCATATGTGATGGAAATTTATGTTATAATCTCTTTAAAGAAAAAGAATATGAAATATGACAAAAGCTGAGAATGTTGATGACTTTATGAAACAGAGGATAGTTAATAAAGCATCCCCTTGGCCCACAGATAGGATTCGCATGGCATTAAAGGAAGGTCAGTGGACAGTCTCAACAAAAGTACTGAGCAAAGCACCTGCTCTCAATTTTCAGTCTACTAGATAGCTGAGGGGCGGAAGATTGGTCTGGTTGATCATGATGGAGGATGAGGAGTATTGTGAAAAGAGTGTGTTATTGGGAAAAGTGTGTGTACAAGGATTTTGATTCATCAGTAATAGGAGCTGGTGGTGATTATAATGATCACCATTGTAATTAGATCATCCTATTTCCTATGTAGTTAGCAGAGCCTCATAGTAATAATCTTTCTGAATTGAGACAATGAGTCAGCGGTTCTGTGTCTGACCTCCAGAGGGAAGGTCAGTATGGCTGTGGGATGTGGACTTGCCATTCATGAAAGACCCAAAATGAGGGCTTCCAGTGTTACCTTAGAGTGAGAAAGTTACACTGATAAGGATGATTACTAAGAAATATCCAACTCTGCTTCTACTTCTGCACCTCACCATCTTTAATAAATTGTGGAGTATGTTTTATGATGATAACTCTATTTTGTGCATGGCATATTGCATTGCAGTCTTAAATATTGAACCATGTTGATCTCTCACGTGCAGACATTTCAGACAAGCCATAAAGTACATAGCTATGTGGTGGCTGCCTGCATTGTTGAAAACGGTGGGAGACTCAAACCCTGAAGACTCAAACCCTCAGAGGCCCTTCTTGACCTCTGAGAAGCTTTGTCAGGGCCATGGTGTTCTCTGGTATGTACAGAGAATTACCATTTATTAATGATTTGTAGACTCTGCAGTGATCATTCTAAATGATGTAGTTTGAAATGCAAGTACTATATAAATAGTTCATAGGATTTGTGTTAATCCGGTATAACTCATGAAATTTACTTTTAATTATGAAATGCATATTTTGATCTTATTGCCTGAAAATTAGAATTTTTCTCCCAAGAGAGGGTAAAGAGGCTTCATTCAAATATGCTATTGATAAAATGTGTTGCATATGAAAATGAATTTCTGTTGTCCAATGACTCTTCAGAGTTTGCCGTTGTTAAAAGCAGCTAACACAGGACAGGCAGTTTGTATGTAATAGATCTGATTATCTATGTTGTATATAAATAAGAAATTAGGTTTTAGGTATGTGTTTTAAAACCCAGTCCTAGTGTAAGGTAACTTAGTGTCAGAGAGGTTGGTTCAGAGAATCACCTGTTTGTGATGGAAGATCCACTGACAAGCATCTCCAGCACAGAACAGTCCAGCTTCACATTAGCGATGGCTTCCACTACCATTACACGCTGTGTTATTTCTGCCATCAATCACCTTTGGTTGTGCTTGAGCCATTACACAGTTTTTGAAAGCTTTGCTTGACAGTTAGCCTATTCTTATGTGTTTAGGACTAGATCTTGTTCCTTAAGTCCTTAAACACAGAATGGAGAAGGAGACTGCTGTGGTCTTGTTAATGCGCTTCTAAGCTGTTAAGTCTCTTCCCCCGTCCACTCTGATTAGTCTCTATCAAGCTGATCTAGAACTTAGCAATTAAAGATTGGTAATGGAATAATATTTCATCTTCAGGACTTTTCAATTTTAGTGGGATCTTTGAGAAGATTCAGGATCTTTCCTGGCAGGACCTACAATGTTTAATAAATCTCTTCAAATGAACATAATGCTTCCTAAAAAGTTTTAGACAAAGATAAGATTCTACTTGTGAAGACATCTTGAACATCTGCCCATGATACCCATTTTCTGGCAATGTACAGTTCATGATATCGGAATGACTCCTTCTCTAGTACAGTGACTCCAAAGTTGAAAATCCCATACAAGGGGAAGATCTTAAGGTGCTACCATTAGCATCTTCAAAGACTGGCAACCCTAGAACAGGTATTCCATGGGATAAAATTTGGAAAATGCTAATGCAGGTTAGTAGAGTCAGACATAACTTTGGCACAATTGGCTGAGAAAAGCAAATGGGAAAGGACAGTCTTAAATTTTTTATGTAGTTCTAAAGAAATAACTGTCTTGATTCAAATAGAGTTGTCATTCTGTTTTCAAAAATAGGTTTACTGAGCGGAATACAGTGCCTTGTGAATACCTGTCAGCTCTGATTATCTTTCTTTCTGTCAAGAGTTTAAAAATAAAAGGGACACTTGTTTTTGTCAGAATTCAGCTATTGCTTTATTCTTTTACATCTTTATAAATACTATAGATTATTTAATTATGCATATATATAAAACACTTAATTCTGTTAGATAATTTGTGCAATCTTTTTCTTGAACTTAGGCTTGTTACCTTGCCCTTGCAGTATAGGGAAATAAGAAAGTGATAAAGAAATCTTGAAAAGAGGACCCGGCACAGTAGCCTAGTGGCTTAAGTACTTGCCTTGCATGTGCTGGGATCTCATATGGGTGCTGGTTCTAATCCCAGTGGCCCCACTTCCCCTCCAGCTTTCTGCTTGTGGACTGGGAAAGCAGCAGAGGATGACCAAAGGCCTTAGGACCCTGCACCTGCAGGGGAGACCTGGAAAAAGCTCCTGGCTCCTGGCTTCGGATTGGTGCAGTTCTGTTTGTTGCAGCCACTTGGGGAGTAAATCATTGGACAGAAGATCTTTCTCTTTGTGTCTCCTCCTCTCTGTATATTTCCCTTTCCAATAAAAAAAAATTTTTTTGAAAAACGAAGAAGTCTTGAAAAGAAATCTTAATGATAAATTTTCATCTTCCCTATCAGTGAGTTTGATGTATATTTTTCCTCACTCTGGATTGTTATTTTGTGTTAAAAACTTTTGAGTGTTCCAGTAATAGTTGAGATACTTATCATAACATTGCATGGCATTTTATTTACATGGAATTTATAATAAGTGACCGAAGGGAAACAATGTAGAAGATCAGACATATTAAGCATTATAGCAAGTCTCAAGGTTTTCTTGAGGTAGATAATGTTATTGCTTGATTTATTTTTTTAAACCAACTCTAAAGGTATATTCCAATCCACTAGTCATGGTGTCACTGCACTGGAGGGGGTGTTGAAGATTGCATTTCACAAATAAGCCAGCTGAGGCTCTGTGAGGCTATAATGTTTGACAGAGAATCAAAACTGAATTTCCCAACGCTGAAATCTGAGCTTTCTCCTTGGTATTTTTTTGGTATTTCTCATCTGTCTTTAGATTTTGTTAGCCGGGACAGGCTTCACACAGAGGAAAGTGGTGGACAGTCTCTAAGGCAGGATTTGTAAGATATCGGGGTGTCAGAATGCATCCAACAGTATAGCTGAGACAGCGCAGGCCTGTGGGATCCTGTTGAGAAGAGGCTCCAGGAGGATGCGGAGGGTCTCTCGCCCAGAGTTTACTCTTGCACCAAGGAGTCCTTGGATGTGCTTTTGTGCTCTCCTTGATGATAGGCAAACATCTGTGCTCTGTCTAGTCATCCAAGTACAGATAGCACTCTGTATCTATTCTCTATTTCAATAACGCTTTGACCAAGTTGCTTTGTTAGATTCCTTGAACTCTTTGCTCCAAGACATGACCTAATTCTGAGTTGTGTTTAAACTATTGTTTTACTAAATGTATAAGAACCATAACCCTGGAAATAAACTTTGTCAGTTGCCCAAGAGAGCACTGTCCTCCCATTTCTTTTCAATCACATCTCCTCCCCAGGAACCCACAAGGTTAACTTGCAACTGGAGCCTGAATAAGATCCCACAGGCTTCTTCTGTCCCAACTATCCTTTTGGATATATTCCAACTTCTGGGAAAGCCCTAAAACAGATTGCTTCTCCCACCGCCTTTATGATGGAACAAAGACTCCTTCATACCTTAAAGGGTTTTTAATCTCTGAAGGCATCTTGTGAAATATGAATATCAGGAAAATGCCTTCTAAATCCTTACTGGGCTAAAAGTTTATCTCAGTGTGGAAGTACTCAGACGGGTTTCAACCAAAAGAACTTAGAGCTATGCTCCAGGATAAGGAGGACAGAGGAAATGGGTTCTAAACTTTGGCTGTCTTGCAAGTCAAATACAACCAGGTAGAAGGGGGTCTTGCTTTGGCTTGGCTTTTAGAGCTTAGTCTATTTTAAATGAAGGAGATAATGAAATGAATTCTTTTTGGATATAGTAGTAGTATATACTGCTCATGAGTTTTCAAATACAGATTTATTTAAAAAAAAAACCCTAAACAATCACATAGAGTTGGTTTTGGTCACTCTAGGATGCCATTGTGTTAGCTCATTCATTATATCCAACAATCTGCCTCATTTTTGGCCTAGTAGGACCACCTCTGGGGATCAGAGCCTTACTGGGACCTCATACCTGTTTAGTTCCAGAATTTTCTACTGAGAAAACTAGCGAAGGCACAAATTTTTATGTTCTATGTACCTTCCTTCCTCTTATATCATTGCTTATGTAGTTAGAACTTGACTTTGAGTTACCGATGCGCTATCTAAAGTCACGTTGCCCTAAAGAAGACTGAATCAAGGACTTCCTTGTGAAGGCATGTATTGGATATGTGGTCTTCTTCAGTTTCATACCATTGGCTCTATTATGTTATCAAGGTCAGGCTTTTGGAGTTCAGCAGCTCTGATACATCTTTATTACTTTGAACAAACTTGAGAATTATACGGGAAAGCCCACAATGTTGTTTTGAGTTTTCTATTAGGATTTGAAATCAGATGCAGATATAAATAAATTTGCAGTTACCACAAAACCTGTTTTCACTGGAACATTTAAGAAACTCTTTGAAAAAACAATCTCACAGAATGTTTCACCTCCAATGTCTTACTAAAATGTCCTCCTTTCAGTTTTTAATTACTCTCTTTATAAATTGCTCTCTTTATATGTAGTCCGCTATCTGTTTCCTTAAGAAATGGCAAAATAAAAGTTAACTGAAGATATTTATTATTTTAGACATTGATTACAGAAAAGGCTTGACTCTTTAGATGGAGAGAGTGGCAGATTTTGCTTTAGTGTAGGGCCTGTTTCCTTGTATCAAAAACAAGGAAAATGATGGGGGGGGTGGGGGAGGGCGGGTCGGGAACCATAGGAGGACCAGACTCAAGAGAAGGGATTCCATTTTCATTGCAAAATATCCGAATGACTGCTTATGAGATGTTTCTACTAATAAGTATTTCTCATGAATCCTAGAAATACCATTGAGGTAGTGCTCTAAATACTGTGAAATTTCGGATTTTTTTTCAACCTCTGAAATACTGCTTAATCTTTCAATTGCTTTTTTAAAAACTAAAAATAGTATTTTTTTTCCATTAAGTGAAATCTTAATGGTGGTTAGTCAACACCCACATTTTATTTTAAACATAGTTATGTTCCAGGAATGAAATTCTAATGAGTTATTTTATCAGGTCAATTCTTACCAGAATGTTAAGCTATGTTTTCCTAAGTCCTGCATAAACCGTGAACAATTGATTCGATCTGCCAAATGCAGACTTAAGTGTAAGCAAGAACTGTTAATTACACATATGATTTTACCAATTTGACTGTCGCAAAAGCCAATAATTCAATTTTAAAAGTTCTAATTTAGGTTAATTTCTCATTGACCATTAGTGTTGATGGGATTCATCAGACAACCATCAATTTTTCACATGCAATTGGAAGTTCTCACTCTGTTGTGGATTTAACAATTGGAAAAGCTTGTCAATGTAAATCATTAATTTTTGAAAAGTAATGAAATTTCACAAATAGTTCTATTTTTAGGAACACATGAATGTATAGAATTAGAAAAACAGTGAGAAAAGCTAGGTATCAGTATGTTACTAGTAATTGTTTTTGCATGGTGAGATTAAGGGTGATTTGGGGAAAAATAAATCATAAAAAAAGAAAAGCAGTAGCAAAGTCCTTAAGCCATTTTTTTTTTTAGTGTGTGTAATATGTAAGCAATTTGTACATTCTGTGCCAGAGATGGCTAAAATGATTAGCATATTCTGTTCGGACCCATGTGGATACTCTTGTTGTACACATATATTCTGGAGAAGTTGAATGGAAATCACAGGGAACTCACAAAGAACACCTTCCTGGGCCGCACCTTTGGTCTGATATTTGGTCATTTCTCATGTAAGACCGAGTGTTGGTCTTACAATGTCAATGATCAACTCCAAATCTGCTTTATTTCCTGTGTATACTGACCCATTTGCATGCATTTCTAAGCAGAATTGCTATCTAAAATAATATTTCTCTAATTGCTTAAAATCTCACACATCTAAAGATAAAATATTTCAGAATTTGTGAAGTTATAGATTTTTCTGTTTTTCCTAAGCAAAGCTTTGAGTTTTCAGCAATAAACCTTAGAAGGATTTATGGAAAAGCTTTAAAGATCAAAGAATAACGAATAACTGGAGGGTTCTACGGGGACTTTGTTCCAAACTTTAATTTATGCAAACTGGGGTTAAGTACATTTTTCTTTCTTATAGGAAAACAGGAAGTGTTTGGTGTAGATAACATCATTTTAAATAAGATTTGTTCCTTTCAGCAGTTGATAGTTTGGTCTGCTTATTTTTTGTGTCGCAGTTTATCATGGATGTACAGCCTTTTAGAAAGACTCAAAATAATTTTGAGGCGTCTCCAACAGTTACTCTTAATATTACTTATATTTTTATTTGTGTTGATTAAGAAATATTGCAAATACTAAAACCAATCACAACAAGGCATAAAGTAGTGGTCTGACTTGTACTCCTAAACATGGTCTAGATTCCAGCATCTAATCTCTACTTCTGGAAAATATTAATTTGTATGTGTTATACTTATAAAATGTAGCTAAAATTATCTCACTGTTTTAAAATGTCATCATAATTAAGTTAGAACATTTTAAAGTACTCAGAATAAGGGTGTAAAGATAGACATTAAAAAGATCCAGTTCATTATCCTATCAAGAAAGTACTGATCCAGTGCATGTGACTATCGGGTAGATAATGTCTTTCATTTTTCAACTTTCTTTGGCTTATTCTGAATAAATTTTAGGTCTCTGCCTTCTGGTGTTCTTGTTTTCATAGATGTTCTCTGAAGTATTTGTTGCGGTTTTCTTTTTTGAGTGTCTCAAATAAAATGTCACTGTTTTCATTTTCCTACCTAGTTTTAAATGAGGAACAATTAATTAAAATATACAACAGATAGAATAATGAGATTGCCTTCACTTTCCACATAACATTGGTTGATTGAACTTTTACATTTCACAGAGGCAATTAAATTGCCCAGTAAGAATGCATTTAGCTGTAAATTTAACAGCTCATGAACTAATGGAAAAAAAATCAACAAATTGCTTGGCCTAAAAATGACTTACTCTAACTGCTTCTGTACTGTCTTCAATTATAAAAAAAAAATTTTTTTAAAAGATCTTAGGAGGAAGGTTCCAAAAGGAATGAAAATAGAAAGGAAAAAGAAAGGAAAGGGGAAGATTGGGAAAAAACAAAAGGAAAGAGAGAGGGAGAGTTACACTCGTAAGGCAGCAGAGGCAGACATGCTGCTGGGGGGCAGAATTTCGGTGTCAGTGTCATAGACCACATAGAAATCCCACCGAATATTCTGTA